AAAACCCAAAAATTGAAAGATCCGGAAAATAAAAATCAAAAACACAAAATTGAAAATCGAAAAATTGAATACATGGAAAATTGAAAAATCAAAAAATTGAAAAATCGAAAAATTGAAAAATTGGAAATGGAAACTCCAAAAGTCACATGTAGTAAAATTGAAGAAAAAAAAATGGAAAATTAAAAAATTGCAAATAAAAAAAAATGAAGGAAAGAAAAATTGAAAATATTGAAATTGAAAAATCAGAAAAATATAAAATCGGGATATCGACAAATTGTAAAAATAAATAAAATAAAAAACCGAACGAAAATCTGAGATATAGAAAAATTGAAAAATTAAAAATTGAAAACTTGTGAGATTACAATCGAAAAATTGAAAACTTCAAAAGTTGGAAAATTTTTATTTTTCCGATTTTTAAATTTCATTTTATATTTCAATTTTTCGTTTTTTCATTTCCTTAATTTTTCAATGTTTCTTTCAATTTCATATTTTTTTCATTCAATTTTTCAAATTTTCAATCTTCGATTCTTCGATTCCTCGATTTTCCAATTTTAAAATTTTTTAATCTTGCTATTTTTGGATTTTTCCATTATCTGATTTTCCGATTTCGATCTTACAATATTTTGTTTTTTCGATTTTGCACTTTTCCTGATTTTTAAGTTTCTCGATTTTTAATCTTTCTATTTTTCAAATTTTTGTTTTTTCAAAGTTTTCATTTTTTCATTTTTGATTTTACAACTTCACAATTTTGCAATCTTTTCATTTTTTTGATTCGAAAAGTTGAAAAATCGAAAAACTAGAAAATCGTACAAAATTGCAAAATTGAGAAAGTGAAAAAACGAGAAATTGCAAAATCAAAAAAATGAGAAATGGAAAAATTGCAAATCGAAGAACTGAAGAAACGAAAAATAAAAACAGTGAAAAATTAGAATTCGAGAAACTAAAAATAAAAAAAAAAAATGAATCGAAAACTTGGAAAATCCAAAAATTACGAAAAACTGTAGGTACATTGCAAGATCGAAAATTTGAAAAATCATACAGGTATCGGAAAACTGAAAAATTAAAAATGAGAAAATATAAAAATAGAATAAATGAAAAAGTTTTAATATCCAATCATTAAATATGGAAAAACTGTAAAATCGTAAAATTGAAGAAGTGAAAAATTTCAAAAATTAACTGAAAAATCTTAAATTGAAAAAACGAAAAAATAAAAGCCCAAAAATTGAAAGATCCGGAAAATAAAAAACAAAAACAAAAAATTGCAAATCCAAAAATTGAATACATGGAAAATTGAAAAATCGAAAAATTGAAAAATTGAAAATGGAAACTTCCCAAAGTCACCTATGGTAAAATTGAAGAAAAAAATGGTAAATCGAAAAATTGCAAATAAAACAAAATGAAGAGGAGAAAAATTGAAAATATTGAAATTGAAAAAACAGAAAGATATAAAATCGGGATATCGAAAAATTGTAAAAATAAATAAAATAAAAAACCGAACGAAAATCTGAAAAATTGAAATATTGAAAAATTAAAAATTGAAAACTTGTGAAATTACAATCGAAAAATTGAAAACTTCAAAAGTTGGAAAATTTTTATTTTCCTGATTTTTAAATTTCATTTTTTCAATTTTATATCACAATTTTTGGTTTTTTCATTTCCATAATTTTTCAATGTTTCATTCAATTGTATTTTTTTTTGTTCAATTTTTCAAATTTTCAATCTTTTAATTTTACAATTCCTCGATTTTCCAATTTTAAAATTTTTTAATCTCGCAATTTTTGGATTATTCAATTATCCGATTTTTCGATTTCGATCTTACAATATTTCGTTTTTTCGATTTGGCACTTTCCCGATTTTTAAGTTTCTCAATTTTTAATCTTTCTATTTTTCAATTATTCCTTTTTTCAAATTTTCTTTATTTCCAATCTTTAGATTTTTCAAAGTTTTCATTTTTTCATTTTTAATAATAATAATAATAATAATAATACGTTTATTCATTCCAACAGACGTTAGTCTATGGTGGACATGTATACACAAAAAGACATTAAATTCAGCTTAAACTAAACTTACAATTTAAAAAAAATCTAAAAAAAAAAAAAAAAAATTAAATCTAACATCAGAACAAATATTATGTACATATATTATTGTGCATATCGTGCTAATAACTTTTTTTGAAAGATGCTTTATTAAAATTAGCGTGAAAAATATCAATGCTATCGTCTAAAGTACAGTTATTATAAAGTCTAAAACATGTAATTAAGGGGCTATTAAAGTGATGATAAGAATTTGGAATTTGATAGTAAAAAGTGGATGGATTTCTGCACAATAAACGAGGAACACAAAAGTTAATATTATTTAGTAACGCTGGACAGAATATATCACCACGCACCAATTTCTGCAAAAATACAAAACAAGCAATATTTCGTCTATACTCGAGAAAATTTTCATTCACTATATTAAGAAGAGCTCTCTGGTTACAATGACTAACAGGATAACAGTTGAACATTTTAAAATACAGATACTTAGCAAATTTCCTGTTAACGTTTTCTATAATATTAATATAAATTTGGTGATGAGGTCTCCAAATTATAGAACAGTATTCTAATTTTGACCTAACTAGACTATAATAAAGCTGTTTAATACATAAAATATTATTAAATTCTTTAGTATTTCTACAGATGAAGCCAAGTGTTTTGATAGCTGAATTTGTTATATCAATGATATGAGGAACAAATGACAATGCAGAGTCTACAATTATGCCTAAATCGCGTATTTGATTACAGTTTTCTAGCAAAGTTCCATTAATATTGTAATAAAAATTAAAATTAGTGTCTTTCCTGGAGAATGTAATTTTTCTACATTTTTTTTTATTAAGGCTTAACTTATTCTGTTCACACCACAGCGCTAATTTATCTACATTATCTTGTAAAACTAAACAATCTCTGTTCGTTTTTATTACTTTAGCTATTTTTAAATCATCGGCATATATAAACGCTCTACAACTAATAACATTTAGGACATCATTGAAGAAAACAGTAAATAACAGCGGGCCTAGGTTTGAGCCTTGAGTAACTCCGCTGTTAACAGGAAATAATGTTGACTGGACTCCATGAATTTCAACAAATTGTTCCCTACCAAACAGGAGATTTCTAAAAATCATTACTAGCTGATGACATATTCCTAATGTATCAAGTTTTTTTAACAATATGCAATGATCTACTCTATCAAAAGCTTTGGATAAATCAGTGTATATGGCATCAACTTGAAAGCCATATACAATTTTTGATTTTACATCTTTACAATTTTGCAATTTTTCCATTTTTTTTATTCGAAAAGTTGAAAAATCGAAGAACTAAAAAATCGGAAAAAATTGTAAAATCGAAAAAATAGGAAATAGAAAAATTGCAAATCGAAGAACTGAAGAAACCAAAAATTAAAACAGTGAAAAACTAGAAATCGAGAAAAAATCTAAAAAAATTATTGAATTGAAAAATTGGAAAGAAGAAAAAACGAATCGAATCAAAAAATTGGAAAACCCAAAAATTATAAAATCAAAAAACTGTCCATTGCAAAATCGAAAAATAGAAAAATTAAATATCGGGAAACTGAAAAATCAAAAATGGAAAAATAGAAAAATCGAAGAAACGAAGAAGTTTTAAAATCCAATCATTAAATATGGAAAAATTGTAAAATTGCAAAATTGAAGAAGTGAAAAATTTCAAAAATTATCTGAAAAAACTTAAATTGAAGAAACGAAAAATTAAAAAGCTAAAATTGGAAAATAAAAAAACTGAAAACCAAAAGTTGAAAGATCCGGAAAATAAAAAACAAAAACAAAAAATTACATACATGGAAAATTGAAAAATCGAAAAATTATTTAAAATCGGGATATTGAAAAATTGTAAAAATAAATAAAATAGAAAAACGAACTAAAAATTGCAAATCGAAAATTTGTAGAAACAAAAATCTGAAGAATCGAAAAATTGAAAAATTAAAAACTGAAAACTTGTGAAATTGCATATCGAAAAACTGCAAAATTGAAGAACTGAAAAATTAAAAAAAGTGCGGGAATGTTATTTTAATTTTTAAAACTGGTTCTAGAATTATGTTTAAGGTAATTAAATAACCAATCAATTAATTTCGTTGATTGAAAAAAAGGTTAACTAATTTTAAAATAAATCCATTTTGATTGGCCCCTCACCACCACTTCGTGCAAGAACCACCAGCAAAAACTAGATAAAATAATCTGCAGAAACAAAAAACGAGAAAGTTCGCAGGCACTTCGTTTGGTTTTGGTTCTTGCTTAATTCTGTGTAGTGAGAGTCGGTATATTTCAAAACTGTGCACAATGGCCGCCAAAAGAACAATCATCACAGACGACCAACTCTTTGAAGCACAGATGCGACGAATGAAACCCTGTTTTCTTGCAGAGGAAAACGAATTCGCCCAGTGTGCAACAAACGCAGAACGAATAAATTTTTTTTTCAACGACGAGCAAGAGGTGGCACATTTATCTTCGGAACTTTCAAGAGTCCTACCACATGCTAGCAAATCGAACGAAAAAGCAATTACGTGTAGAAAGGATGGAAATAATCTTTTCGGTGCCGAGAAGTACGAAGAAGCTTTGAAACTGTACACGGAAAGTATCTCTTGGGCTGAAGGGGAAGAAGAGGCGTCGTTTGCGTATGGCAACAGGTCTGCGGCGCTTATTGCTATGGGTTTGTTCCAGGAGTGCCTCACGGTAGGTTTACACGAAAGAGTTTTTGTGTTTTTTCGAAATTTGTCTAACGTAGGAGCAAATAATGCGGAAACGTCACGTTAACGCTCCAATTGAGCTATTTTCTTGCTAGGTTTGCCTTTGTAGGGATTAGTTTCGAGCACTCTGGGGCTCCTCGACTCAGTTATGTGTCTAAACCGCATCAGATTTAGATAGAAAAAAAGATTATTTGGTTTAGTTTTATATTCTGAAGGGTTTGTGACGTTTTAGTTATCTTATGGGCATGGAGCATGTAAGAAAACGATTAATTATTTACTTGGTTATGGGTTGAAAAGAAATCAGTTTTCTTCACAAACTCCCTTGGTGAGTTGTAGACAAAATTTTTTTATTGTACGTTTTTACTGAATTTTTGAATTTTTCCCTTCTGATTTTTATTCCTCGTGAAGACTTCATTTTATTTATTTTTTTCAACAAAATTCAAAACTGACCATTTTTATTTAGTAAAAGAAAATATATTCGCTTAAAATGATGATATAAAATCTTTGTTTTAATAATAATTTTTATATACATATATTAAAAAAAATGGTGTAAGGTTATTTCAATAGAACTTCCCTCGCCCCCCAAGCCTAACAAATCCCGCTTTTTTGAAAAACTATCAAAAATTTTTCTGATTTTTGTTTTCTGAACTATATAAGTAGTTAAGATTCTATAAAGTTAAAGACAGTTGAATTTTCAATTATTTTTTTTCGTCAGATTCTCAATTTGCAATTTTTCGTGTTTTCAAGTTTAAATTTTTCATTTTTTAAATTTTTCAACTTTTGAATTTTTCAATTTTTAGATTTTGCAATTTTTCGTTTCAAAATTTCTCGAGTTTTCAATTTTTCAATTATTTAAGTTTTCATTTCTTCAAATTGTCGATTTGCAATTTTTCGTTTTGGTTTTGTATTTGCTTTATTTTTACAATTTTTCAATTTTTTTTATGTTTCAATTGCTAGATTTGCAATTTTTCGATTTCCAATTTCACGAGTTTTCGATTTTTAATTTTTCAATTTTTCATTTCTTTAGTTTTTCGATTTGCAATTTTTCGTTTCGGTTTTTTATTTTCTTTATTTTTTCAATTTTTTGGTTTTCAGTTTATCTATTTTTCAATTTTAGATTTTTTTAATATTTTGTTTTTTCAATTTAAGATTTTTAATTGTTTCAATTTCTCAATTTTTCATTTCTTCAAATTTTTGGTTTTCATTTTAAATAAGTATGTAATGATAATTATAATTTTTTAATTTTGTATTTCTTTGAAATTGATTTGAGAACTTTTTATTCGATTTTACAATTTTTCGATTTTTTTTTGTATGGCCCAATTGTTAGATTCTGCAATTTTTCGTTTCTTCAATTTTTGGTTTTCATTTTAAATAAGTATGTAATGATAATTATAATTTTTTAATTTTGTATTTCTTTGAAATTGATTTTAGAACTTTTTATTCGATTTTTCAATTTTTCGATTTTTAATTTTTTAATTTCTGGATATTTAGGTAATTTTTCGATTTTTCGATTCGATTCGTTTTTTCTTCTTTCCAATTTTTCAATTCACTAATTTTTTTAGATTTTTAAGTTTTTCGAATTTTAGTTTTTCAAAGTTTCATATTTTCGTTTTTCAGTTCTCAATTTGCAATTTTTCAGTTTTTCACTTTTTCTGTTTTGCAATTTTTTCTTTTTTTACTTTGGCAGTTTTGCAATTTTTTCCGATTTTTAAGTTTTTCGATTTTTGAATTTTTCGATTTTTCAACTTTTTGAATAAAACAATTGAAAAAATCGTAAAATTGCAAAAGATGAAAAATCAAAAATGAAAAAACGAAAAAGCATACAAAATGAAAACTTTGAAAAATCTGAAAATTGGAAATAAAGAAAAGCTGAAAAATTCAAATCTAAAAATTCGATAATTGAGAAATCTAAAAATTGCAAGATTGAAACATTTAAAAATCGGAAAATAAAAAACAGAAATCAAGAACTTGATAAATTGAGAGAACAAAAATTTAAAGATTCTAAAAATTTTTAATTCGCATTTTGTCGTTTAGGTTTTTTATTTGCTTTATTTTACAATTTTTAATTACAATTATATTGTACACTTTGATCTCTGTAACTGGGTTTTTACCTGTAGAATGATCAATAAAGATTAAAGATTAAAGAATTTTTAAATTTTGTTTGTGTGTTTCAATTGTTAGATTTTGCAATTTTTCGATTTCCATTTCAGGAGTTTTCAATTTTTATTTTTTCAATTGTTCGATTTTCCAATTATTCGATATGCAATTTTTTGTTTCGGTTTTTATTTTCTTTATTTTTTCAATTTTTCGATTTTCAGTTTTTCTGTTTTTCAATTTTTCGATTTGTAATTTTTCATTTCGGTTTTTCATTTATTCTTATTTTTTCAACTTTTCTTTTTTGTAGTTTCTTAGCTTTAAATTGTTCAGTTTCTCGATTTTTCAGTTTTTCCTTTCTTCAATTTTTGATTTGCAATTTTAGATTTTTCGTTTTTCGTTTTTTTTATTTAAGATTTTTCTGTTTCTCGATTTTGAAATTTTTTGTTTCTTCAATTTTTGGTTTTCACTTAAAAAAAGTATCTAATGATAATTATAATTTTTCAATTTTTAATTTTTCAGTTGTCATATTTTTCAATTCTTCGATTTGCAATTTTTCGTTTCGGTCTTTCATTTCTACGTTTCAACTGTTAGATTTTGCAATTTTTCGATTTCCAATTTGTAATTTTTCAAATTTTCAATTTTTCATTTTTTAATTTCTTTAATACTTTGATTTGCAACTTTTCGTTTCGGTTTTTTATTTTCTTTATTTTTTCAGTTTTTCGATTTTTAGTTTTTCTGTTTTTCAATTTTAGATTTTTTAATTTTTTGTTTTTTTATTTTAGGATTTTTCAGTTTCTCGATTTTGTAATGTTTCGTTGCTTCAGATTTGGTTTTCATTTTAAATATGTAATAATAATTATACTTTTTTAATTTTGCACTTCTTTAATTTTACGAATTTAGAATTTTTCCATATTTCAGTTATTACCTAGGTTTTAGCTATTTCATTTACATATTCGGTTCACTAATTTTTTTAGATTTTTAAGTTTCTCGAATTTTAGTTTTTCAAAGTTTCAAATTTACGTTTCTTCAGTTCTTCGATTTCCAGTTTTTCGATTTATCACTTTATCTATTTTGCAATTTTTTGTTTTTTCACTTTCTCAATTTTGCAAATTTTTTTCGATTTTTTTTTCAATTTTTAAATTTTCGATTTTTCAATTTTTCGATTTTTCAACCTTTCGAATAAAATGTAAAAGTTGAAAAATCAAAAAACGAAAACCGGAATAGTATAAAAGAAAACTTTTGGAATTGCATTTCACTATTTCGGTTTTTAATTTTTTTATTTTTTCAATTTTTCGGTTTTTGAATGCTCTAATTTTATGTTTTTTTTTCAATTCTTCGATTTTTCAACTTTTTGATTTTAAAATGTTTCTTTTTTTAATTTCAGACTCTTTTATAATTTACTGTTTTTTCAATTGTAATTTTTCCAATATCTCGATTTACGATTTTTCTGGTTGTCATTTTTTTTTCTTCAATTTCTCGATTTTGCAATTTTTCGTTTCTTCAATTTTCGGTTTTCATTTTAAATATTTAATAATTATAATTTTTTAATTTTGCACGTCTTTAATTTTGCGTTTTCAGAATCTTTGTATATTTGAGTTACATATTAGATTTTTCAGTTTTTCGATTTTTAATTTCCCGATATTTAATTTTACAATTTTTCGATCTTTCAATGTACAGTTTTTCAACTTTGCAATTTTGACGATTCTATAATTTTTTGATTTTACAATTTTTGAGTTTTCCAATTTTTCGATTCGATTCCTTTTTTTTTTCTTTCCAATTTTTCGATTGACTATTTTTTTTAGATATTTTAGTTTCTCAAAGTTTCAAATTTTCGTTTCTTCAATTCTTCGATTTGCAATTTTTCAATTTTTCACTTTTCTATGTTGCAATTTCTTGCTTTTGCACTTCCTCAATTTTGCAACTTTTTCCGATTTTTAAATTTTTCGAATAAAAAAAATGGAAAAATCGCAAAATTGTAAAAGTAGAAAAATCAAAAATGGAAAACGAAAAATATATAAAAAAAATACGTTTCGGTTTTTTTATGTCCTTTATTTTTTATATTTTTTAGATTTTTTTTGTGTTTCAATTGTTAGATTTTGTAATTTTTCGATTCTCCAATTTCAGGAGTTTTCAATTTTTCATTTTTTCAATTTTTGGATTTGTAATTTTTCATTCCAGTTTTTTATTTATTCTTATTTTTTCAACTTTTTGGTTTTTCAATGCCCCAATTTTATGATTCTCTTTTCAATGTGAAATTTTTCATCTTTTAGATTTTTTAAGTTTTCGTTTTTTATAATTTACTGTATTTTCAAATTTAATTTTTCCAATATTCGAATTGTAATTTTCGATTTCTATTTTTAATGTTTTTATTTTCACAATTTTTCAGTTTTTTGATGTTCTGATTTTGTAATTTTTGTTTTTGCGAGGTGAAATTTTCTCAATTTTTGGATTTTTCCAATTATCGATTTGAATTTTTTCGACTTTTTTAGCTTTTAAATTTTATAATTTCTTAGCTTTAGATTGTTCAGTTTCTCGATTTTTCAATTTTTCGTTTCTTCAATTTTTAATTTGCAATTTTTCTAGTTTTCAGTTCTCCGATTTTTCAATTCTTCGATTTGCAATTTTCAGAATTCCATTTCAGGAGTTTTCAATTTTTAATTTTTCTTTCGTTCGATTTGCAATTTTTCGTTTCGGTTTTTCATTTAAATAAAATAAATAAAATAATTTTATTTGTACTTTAACACTACATTGGTTTTGTACACGTCAAATTTGTAAATATACATTAAGATATGACAACAATTTCATAGATCCACGGACTATCGTTTAGAAAATCTCATAGTACGCCTTACTTAAGAGCACTTTTTTAATAGTTTTCTTAAAAGTACCTATTTTTAGTTCTTTTATTTGACCTGGCAGCTTGTTGTAAAATTTTATGGCATAGAATTCAACTCCATTTTGTGTCTTAGTTATTCTACATTTCCTAGGACAAAGTTTATCATTATGTCTAGTGTTATAACTATGTACATCATTATGGCGATTATAATTATCCAAATTACATTTAATGTAAGTGAGGTACTGAAAAATATACAGGCTAGGCAGTGTGAGTATTTTCATATCAACAAATTTATTTCTGCAATCCTCTCTGAAACCTAGTTTTGCCAAGATACGAATTGCCTTCCTCTGTAAACGAAATAACCTATGACCAATTTGTGTCTTTCAACTGTTAGATTTTGCAATTTTTCGATTTCCAATTTGTGATTTTTCAAATTTTCAATTTTTCAGTTTTTTATTTTTTCAATTCTTCGATTTGCAACTTTTCGGTTCGGTTTTTATTTTCTTTATTTTTTCAATTTTTCGATTTTCAGTTTTTTTTTATAATTTTTCGATCTTTCAATGCACAGTTTTTCGAATTTACAATTTTGACGATTCTATCATTTTTCGATTTTACAATTTTTCGATTTACTAGTTTTTTTAGATTTTCAAGTTTCTCGAATTTTAGTTTTTCAAAGTTTCAAATTTTCGCTTCTTCAGTTCTTCGATTTTCAATTTTTCAATTTTTCAATTTTTCGAATAAAAAAATGGAAAAATCACAAAATTGTAAAAATTTTGGATTTGCATTTTTCTGTTTGGGTTTTATTATATTTTTTATTTTTTCAATTTTTCGGTTTTTCAATGTTCTGATTTTGTATTTATTGTTTTTTCAAGGTGAAAATTTTCAATTTTTGGATTTTTTCCATTTCTCGATTTTTCAATTTTTTGTTTCTTCAATTTTGATTTGCAGTTTTTCTACTTTTCATTTTAAATATGTAATAATAATTATAATTTAAAAAAATTTCGCTTTTTCCGTTATTGGATTCTAAAACTTTTTCATTTATTCGATTTTTCAATTTTTCGATTTTTAATTTTTGAATTTCTCGATGTTTAATTTTCATTTTTTCGTTGTTACAATTTTGACGATTTCATAATTTTTCCATTATACAGTTTTTGGGTTTTCCAATTTTTCAATTCGATTCGGTTTTTCTTCTATCCAGCTTTTTGATTCATAGTTCAAGAATTGAATAAACGAAAAATAGTAAAATCGAAAGAAACATTGAAAAAACGAAGGAAATGGAAAAACGAAAAATTGTGGTATAAAATCGAGAAAATGAAAAAAAATTAAGATCTTGGAAAATTGAAGAAACGAAAAATTGCAAAACTGAAAAAATAAAGAAAATGGAAAACAGAAAATTGTGATATCAAGAAATTATAAAATAGACGAAAAAAGAAAAACGGAAAATAAAGATATCAAAAAATTGGTCGGAGATGAATCCAGACAAACCACATTTATAGTCATAATATTTTGTATATTTCAGAAAGGCTTATTCGACAAAATTTTGAGATGACGTCATCAATTTTTTGGAAGGGGATAAACGAATAAATTCTGATTAACGATTTACCATGATTACGATAAACTTAAGTTGCAAAATACTTGTTATACAATTTTGATTTTTTTTCCGAAAAATCTAGATGTGTAGAGTAAAAATTGAACACGGATTCATAAACCCATGTGAAGGATTATCTTATTTTATAAAAAACATTCGTGCTCTAGGGCTCATGAAACGTTGAGAAAACTAAACACAAGATTCTTGTTCAGGTTTTTAAAAACTATTTATTGTTTGTCTCGTAATCTGTGACTGTTAGTTCTTATATTTTTTCTAGGATATCGAGAGAGCTCTCCAAAGTGGTTATCCCGTGAACATGCGCGACAAACTCTTCACGCGAAAGGAGAAAGCCCTAGAAGCCCTAAAGGATTCAGTACCAAAAGTCAAAGCCTACGAAATTCCACAATCCGAGAAAAACGACAAAATTCAGTCAGCAAGGAACTGCATCGAGCTAAAAACTGACGAAAAGTACGGTAGGCACATAATAGCCACCAGAGATATCAAAATCGGCGAAATCCTAGTCGTCGAAAAACCATACGTAGTGGTACTGCAGCCCGATCGCTTTTCTAAACCATCCTGCTTTTGCTATGGATGCCTAGTGTTTTGCTATAATCCGATACCATGCACCAAGTGTCACAAACGTCTGTATTGTAGCGAAACGTGCAGAGAAAAGGATTTCCAAACTTACCACAAGCACGAATGTTTAATTTTGCCCTTCATAGATCAGTTCATGTATCTCACTGACTACTGGTTGCTTGCTCTAAAAATCACGCTTGTGGCAATGAATGACGAAAACAACACAGAACCCGGTTATCGTTCTGACAGATATAAAGAAGTTAAAGAATTGCGGACTCACAGGGCTGAGTGTACGTTGGAGAAAATGTATCTATTGTCTTTGTTCTCTACGAAACTTTTCGTTTTGTTAAGAGAAAAGTCTACGCTGTTCGAGGAGATCAGTGGACGTGAGGAAATTTTTAAAGAATTATATTTCTGCAACCTGCTGATGAGTAAGATCAACTGTATCGGAATGGAGGATTGGTACAGTCACAGTAAATATGAGAGTCCTATGTATGGAACTGGACTATTTCCTCTATTCAGCATGTTCAATCATTCGTGTTATCCTAACACCACGTGGACTTATTGTGGATCTACAATGATTATTAGAGCTTATTCGCCTATTAAGAAAGGAGAACAATGCTTCATTTCCTACGGGTAAGCAGAACTTGAATTATGTATTTATTTTTTTGACAACTAAATTTTTTGTTGTTTGTCTTATAGCATCACTTTCTCGGAACATGACCTAAAATACCGACAAGAAAGACTTCAATCGTTGTTCAAGTTTACTTGTACCTGCAAAGCTTGCAAGGAAAACTGGCCTGTTTTAACATCCCGAGAGATGGACTGGACCTTCAACGAAGAAAGTATTACGAAGTTGAAGGAAAACATAGAAGAACTTACCGACAAACAAGCAATTCCACCTTCGGAAGAAACGTTACGCTTACGTTACATCGTCAGGAAGATTTTTGCGGCTTTGGACGAAAAGGGCCAATTAGGGTGCGATCCAACAATAAAATAATGGTTGCTAGTAGAAATCTCTCGTTACTTATGTCTGTTGTGTATTAGTGTTAGTACGTGGAACCAGCAAAAAAACGATTTCAGGAAAAAGGACGACAAAAAAATGTTCGTTTGTTGTTGAGTATGTTCTTTTGTAACTCATTTTTAAAAAATTACGAGTATCAATCGTCTGTTTTGTTGTGTTGATCAAAACTGGAAACACGTCCATAGTATAGTTCATGTTAGATTGTGATTTGTGTTGCTAGCTTTTTTTATCATTTCTGTAAGTATAGGTTAAGGTACAAACAATCTCATGTACATGAAACTTAAAATTTTGTCAAAATATTTAAAAAATATAACATTTTATTTAGTTTTTCGATGTTAATTTAATCCAAAATTGGTTTGAAGCGTTCAGGCGGTAAGTACTTCCCTCATCAATACATGCAACTAAAAGTAAGTACAGAACTTCCAAAATGCACAAGCTAAATAAATTAAAAAAATAATTTTGCGAATTTCGAAATCAAAATATCGAAGAAATATGCACATAACATGTACACATTTTTGGTCAAAATATGCTCCACTTTATTAAAAATATGCAAAACATGCACAAGTTTAGATAAGTTAGGTGAGTTTATATTATATTTAATAGAACTAAACCAGCTTACAAATCGTCAAAAAAGACGTAACAATTGAAACGTAAATAAATGTGTGAAATGCATCAAAACATAAACGCAGCTGTTTATTTGGTTTCTATTAATTTCTTTGATATCTTCTAAGCATGTCATACCTGCATTCATTCCAAGGACAGTTGTGTCATCCGCAAAGAGAATTATTTTATTGTCACTAGCATTAGGCAATTCATTTACATAAATGAGGAAGAGGAGCGGTCCAAGGACCCATCCCTGTGGAACACCATGCTTTGTACTTTTGATAGTTGACTCTCTATTATTTAAACTAACAAAGTGTTGTCTAGTTGTTAAATAAGATTTTATAATGTTATTGTTAATATTGGATTGATGAAATTTGTAATAATTGAATTTATCTTATCAAATATTTTGGGAGAAAACGCTTTAGTTGAGTAGAAAAAGCAAGCATATGCAAAATTTTTTAATTCAAGAGCATTTGGTACAAATTTACTTAATTGATTTACTGCTAAAGTAATTGAAAAAGTATTACGAAAAGCGTATTGACTAGAAGAAAAAAAAATATATTAGATTCAAAATAACTGGTCATTTGATTTTTAAGCAACAGTCCAACAGTTCATATATTTACCACTTGTTTCACCATAGGGGCATTAATACCAAAGGCGTCACAGTAGCGACTACTATTCAAATTTGTAATTGCTTTTTCTCAATAATAAAAGCTATTTGATGAACGCATTGACGTTATTAGTTAGATAGTCTATGAAATTTGAATTAACACTTGTCGATTTTAATTGATTCAAAATTAAGTTAGGAATGTTTTTGAAATAACCATTAAATTCCTCTGCCAAAAATTTACTATTATCCATATCATTGTCCTTTTTGTTTCTACAGTCGTTTATGATGTTCCACATTGTTTTTTGTTTATTATGAGATAAATATGCAAATACTTAATTTGAATATGTCTAATAAAACAAAATGACATTTTTAAATATTTATTGTTTAAAGTACAGGTCTTGTAACATTTATTTACAATATAAGAATTCTAATTATAACTAAATTAAGTATGTAAGGAAATGCTGTTTCCACATTTTTTATATTTTAGCTATAATTTTTATTAAACCAACTGATTATTAAATGTTTTCCAAAATGTTTATATCCACATTTACAAATCCTCCTCCCTAAATTTTACTCACAAGCGACAAGGTATTAAAATCTACATTTTTTTCTAAAACAGATTTAAATGTTTGAAAAACGTTTTCACCATGTTTAGCTTTGAACATTGGATAGTTTTTGAAAACAATTTGTGACTAACTCAATAGAATCTACCAGTGCTAAATTGTTTCATTTAAGTTTTAAAATTGTATCAGAAACTGTGGAAAAATTAGCTGAAATAAAGATGGCAGTTCTCTTTTAGCAAACATTATTTTAAATTCTTTAATAGAGGTAGTGTGACGAGCCGTCACTAAATTCGTTCACGAGAAAATCGTAACAAAAAGACGAATAACAAATCCCCAGAACATAACAAAATTCGCAAATTTGCAAATCTTAATTACTTAACACGCATGCCCTAATCTGCATTCAAACAGATACTCAAACTCTACCACCAATCCCAGAACGTAAGAACAAAAATTTGCATACTCGCAAATTGCAAATATCACTGCGCTTCTCAGACATTGCGAATAATATGCGCAGAATCTTACACTCATAAAAACCGCTAATCGCAATTATTTTCATTCGAATTCGTACCCAAACTAAAACAGCAGCAGGCGAATCGCAGACGCAATGTGGCGATGACGATATGGGAACCATGATGCAAGTTGAAAAAAACCGACGATTGTCACACAAATTAAACCTTGTAAAATAGCAAAATAAGACCTAAAGTCGCATGCCATGTAACAAATAAATCAGTTACAATTATGGCTTACTAACGTCGCAGGATACAAGATAAATGGGTAAATATGTATAAAAGCAAGAGTGCAGGAAGTGATTTTAATTCATGGGACATTCTGTCCGAGAAGAAGATAGAAAAGTCTCTATGCTGCATCTGTGTAAGTCTACCTTTCCTCCCTCTGCTATAATGTGTTCTCAATTTCGGCCGTATCTATTAAGCGTTTAATTTATACGTTCTTTGTCGGGGGTTTCGATGCGTTTGGTGTAAATAGATAGCGCCGGGGGCGGATGGAATTTTTAGCGTTAACAGATGTTCTCGTTTACTGGTGGTACTCTTGGCCTTGCGTCAGATTTTGGTCGTCGAGGAAGATTTTTTGATAATTTACCGATCGCTTTTTATGAAAATTAATCCAACGTTTCCTTAATTTGCGGACTCGACCCCTGCATTCGCGACACGGATATTTTAGAGCAGTTTTTGGGAAGTTTCCGAATCGGAACGACTTTATTCTGATTTCCTTGTAGTTGATAATTTTATTTTGAGTTTATTACTGTTCAATATCATTCCGTTTATTTTGCCATAGTTTTGGGAAACCTCACACTTCATCCGAATTTAATGTTTTCACTGTATTTTAGAGCATTTATAGTACTAATTTCTCAACGTTTAGCTGTACTTAAAGACTGACTATTCAGTTTTGCTTTTATTTGACCATCCCGTAGCCGCTGATTTTCTCGTGAATAAGTGTTTGCACTCGGCGTTTTTAGCTAATTAAATAAAGTAAAATTTATTTATCTCTCTCTTTGCATGTTTAATTGCACAAGTAATTTTAGTTGTTTTCTTCATTTTTAATGGAAGATTTCTTTGAATTAAACTGAATTATTAGTTTTAATTGTTTCTAGCTGTTTTAATAGCACTTAGTTAGCGGGTAAATGCCCAGTCGGAGTTTATTTAATACTGAAGTGCATTACTGGAATTCATATTCAGCAGTTTATTTATCACGCACGTAATATTATTATGGTTTAGAAGGTATCGCATATAATTAGGGATTTACTAGGTTAATTTCAAGTTTTTATTTCATGATGATATTAGAGGATTTTTTTAGGATTAATTTTAATTAGTTTCGTGTGTTATGTTCGTAGATTTTAAGGTTTTCAATAATGGAACACAATTGCATGTTTCAGTTATGTAAGTTTAATCTCATATTTTATTTTACTTATTTACTGATTTATCCTATTATTATGCTTGCAGTTTTGTAGTTTTATCTTTCAATATATGTATTAAAATGTTAGGAGCGTTTGATTATTATCTCTTTTCCCACATGTAGTTTAGGTCTTCCATTTCCAAGGAAATGGTCCTACAGGCAAATAAATAATTTTGTTAGTGTCCAAATGCTCGGCCATGGTCAAAAACAATTTGACTAAATCTACTACTACTACTACTACTACCACTACTACTACTACTACTACCACTACTACTACTACTACTACTACTACTTTTGGAAATAAATTCAATTTCCTCAGCCAATCTTTATACCATAAGTGAACCATGTAATAGTAATATGGATAAAACGAGGAAAAAAAATAAATGTATGTAGCAGCATCTGAAACTGGTTCCTCAAGAAAAAGTTCGTTAAACCTTCATGAATAAAATTAATATTTGTCTTTTCCAACATTTTTCTGCTAATCAATGAAGTGCCACATTTTTCACTAGTCAAAGATTAAATTAACAAATCTGCGATATAACGTCGACACGAATCGGAATAGCCTGCTTTGTTTTTTGACCGTATAGTTTATTTTTAAGGTACTCTCATCGGGAACTGACTTCATGGTACGCCTTTTAAGAAATGATCGTAGCTTGGGGTTATTCAGTTTTGATAAACGAATATCGGCACTGAAGAATGCTTTACATTGGAAACAATATTCTTTTTGATCTGTCATCTTCTAGGTGGTGGAGAAACATTCTGCGAGCAGACTTTGTGATTTCACGTTAGAACTAATAAAAACAAATGTGACAAATTCAAAAATATAGCAATGATAGAAATTTGGATACATTACTTACCTTTTTATAGCACACTCTACAAAAAACACATTGAGAATTTTCATATAACACTAGTTCGGGATACTTTTTTATCCAGCCGTGGACATTTGCAGAAATTTTGGCATTTTGGATTCGAAGTTCACTTGTCAGTACAAAAATAAAGACCGACAAAATTAAAAATGAAACGGGTAAATGACAAAATGAGTATTGGTGGGAGGATGCTGCCTGAAATGGAATGTCTCCAGTTCGGATTAGGATGTTTTAATTACTGTTTTTTTCCAGGTAATGTCTTGGCATTTGCTGAATAAAGTACAATATGAAAATTTTACAAAAATATGCATACCTAAATATACACTTAATCGATAAATATGCAGTTAAATTGAAAAATATGCAAAATATGCATTTTTTAAGTCCATTGTTTGACGTTAATTATGTAATATATAAATGGCGTTAAACGTTAAAATTTGACAATAATCGGTCCAGTAGTTTCGGAGATTATCTGTCCAATACAAATTGGTACGGGCGACAGACAGACGAAAACGCTCCAGAGATCATGAAATGTGGAGAAAACATGAAAGAAGCCATCCGTCGGGTAAAACTATCGAAAGTTATCGACAAATCCCAAAATTTACTGAGAAATAACTTTCCATTTACTAAACGTTATCTGTGGTTGTGTAAGTTGATTACTTCCTGTATATTTGCATTTCGATATAAGATCACCATTTGCCAAACTCGGATTTTAAAAATAATATTTAATTGATCACTGATCACAGATTAGATCGATTTATCAGTAAATTTTATAAAAAACACATGAAAATAATGCGCAATTTTTTTATGTTGATAAAGGACACGAAACCGTAAAGTAGGTACCTAATCTTAAGTAGTGTCTTAAATAACCTTTAACGTTTGATAAAAATAACACCCGATACTTGTAATGTTTGTGGTACGGTACTGAAAATTGCAAAAAAAAATTCAAAGTATGCATGGTTTTCCTAGCGTTTTCCCCAAAGGGATCTTCACTTAAAAGTCGAACTAACTAAAGTCGTATTTTCTGGCAAATGCCACAGAAAACAATAATTTTGGAAAACAACAAATTCAAAACGGAGAAAAACAAATACATGTACAATATTAAACAGAATAAGTAGAAAATAACTAGCTATTTCTGTACTTAAATGTTTTCACCACATACCTACCTACGAGAGCTTAAAATGAGTTCTTTTTATGTTTCGAAATATCATGCCCACTTAAATATTTCAGTTTTAAACGAATATTTCTTGGACATTTTACGTCGCTTTAAAAGTGTGTTTATCTTATCAAAAAATCATCATTTTGTGCGGTCTATAAATAAACGAACGTTCCTAGTTGATATCAGTTTAGTAGAAAAATTTTCTAGCTACAGCTTTTTCTTGCATTAGTGATTTCAACTCTAGAAATGAAGAACATCGAGGTGAGTGTTTCTTTCCATATAACTGTCTACATATATTCTATTTTTATTTTATTCTTTTATTCCTACAACAAAAATTTGGATAGCTAAAATTGAAGTTAGTATTAAAGCATGATGTTAAAAGCATGGATTAATTAACATTCTACAGGTTTATGTTTTTCTTTTCTTTTGTGAAAAATTTTTTCGTGAATCTTACCTTAGAAAATTTCTCGAGTGCTTTTTTGATATAAAATGGATAACATTTTTACTAACGGCAAGTTACGATATCTTTTGCCATATGTTCAAATTTTGATACAATTGATTATCGAGATACTTTATTTCTATAAAATGTGTTTTTTTAATTTTACATCCTCTAATCTAGTTTAGACTAGTTCTAGTTTTTCCGCTTCCATTCTTCGCCATTAATTGTTATGTTTTATTAGTTAATATCAACTGTATTTTCATAATCTTTTTCTGTCTTTGCTTTGTCTCTTACGGTCTTGTGGTGGCATAATATAACGTGGAAAGTGAGGAAAAATAACCACGGCGTCGGATAAGCACAATTGTACACAATCTTGTTATCATTTATTATTTGTGCGGTTTGTACTTCCGCGTTTATGGAGTTTGTCATTGCATATTGCAATTCTTTATTCCTTTCCAGAGTTTTAAAAAAAGAAGCGGAACCACGGATTGGGGGAAGGAATATGAGGATGTGGTTCTCGCTTTTGTTATCCTAGAACTAGTAAAAGATGCCACTACAAAAAACTTTCATGTTTCGTCAAATGAAGAAGGGTTTGGAGCTTTTGATGACATAGTTATTAAAACTGAGTCGGATAACGGAAACGAAATAAGAGCAGTACAGCTAAAACACACCGAAAATAGAATATTGTCCACAAAAAATTTGACGTCCAAAACAGGAGACTTCAGCATTGGCAAATATTTCAAAACCTTCCAAGAAATTAAGAAAGACGCAGACGAATTCATATTATTTACTAATAGAACATTTAAGTGTGACGACAATACAAAAATTCAACTGGAAGGAGAAGAGTTTTATATTAAATCTGTTAAAGTAAATACTGCTTCAAAACTTTCAGAGATAGATTGTGCGTATCAGTTTAAGATAATAGAAGAAGACTGGGATGTAGAAATGCTTCCCAAAATTCGACAATATCAAAAGTTTTTTAGTAAATTTTATTTGTATACCGATCAAAAAAAAGTTGGAAGCTTGAAAAACAGTATAGCTAAAAAATTCAAAAGTACATATCATGTGGATGAGGAAATATTCGAAAAATTCCTCAAAAGAATAATTGATTGGAATATGCAAGAAGGCAACAAAGAAAAGCTAAACAGAGAGTGGGTGGAACGAGTGATCGCGCTACTGCTTTTATCTTCCCATATCGAGCCATTATCTTCTGGCTCAGTTAATGTCAATTCCGTTAACGATAAAATGAAAATATTTCGAGAAGCTGTTTCCTTATTCGATATTACTCTACTTGAAAAAGAATCGTACGAAAAGCTTAAACCGGTGTGGGATGACATTGGAAAAGAAAAAAACTTCGACTTTACAGAACTAAATAAAGTAAGACAAAGGTATTTGCCAGCAGTCAGTTATATTGATAATAAAAACATCGACAAAATGGATCCAAGGATATTTATTCAACTATTATGGTTAACAGACAAGTGTCCATTAATTATACGTCAACATGAGAACGTCGAAAAAGCCATCCAGCTCTGTCCCGGTAAAAAGTTCATCCTAGTTGGAGAAGGCAAGGATGAGAAGTGGATGGAAAACTATGCCGTGTTCCAAAATCTATCAAACTTGCAAGATAAATCGGACTTACGTGAAAGATTCATGCAAAATTTTACTATATCGATCCAAGGAAAGGGAGAACTTAATCTTGCAACAGCTTTTGAAAATAGCGAAGAATTATTAGAAAGTGTCACAACGGACAAGGTGGTGGAAATGCTACATGGTCCGTGTTATATAGGGGGACAAAAAGAGATTCTTCCTGAACCTTATATTGAGCGGAGTCTTTCTCGAAATATTATTAACATTAAATACCTAGAAAAATTTTGGGAAAACACAATTATCATTTTAAATTGCGGCGATAATTTTGATCAAGTTAAAGACAAAGTAAAGCAATGTGAATTAATTAATGTAAATCAAACAAATGAACTTTATGCGTCTAAATTCAATCCAACTCAATATAAAAATAACTTTCATTCGGAAAAATCAAATTTGACCAATACAGTTTATATAAGTAATAGCAATTTTAGTGATCTAGAACTAGAACAAATTTACAATGAAAATAGAGAAGCCAAACAGTTTCACTACTTTAAACTTTCCAGTGATTGTAACTTAGAATGGGTTAAAAGCAGAGGCGATGTTAGTGATTTAGAGGTTTATAAGTTACATGAAAAATACTGTACGAACGAAAATAAACTGTGGTGTTCTCGGTTAGATAATAACATAAATCTAATATGTGGCGATTCGGGCATGGGGAAATCCGAATTAATGAAAAGCTGCAAAAATAAATGTTCACCCAAACATTGGACAATTATAATTAGTCCTAACGACGTACACTCATTTTTTTACGATTCTAAGTTTTCTAAAACAACTAACTATACAGATTTATTTGAAAAATTTATCGTAAATGAAAATTCTCAGTCACTCAAGACATTGGAGCGAAGATTTTTCGAAATGTCTGTACAGAAAAATAATGTTGTTTACGTGTGGGACGCGCTCGATGAAATTATAGGAGAACATTTAGAAGCCGTTTCGAAAATAATCCTCGATTTCTCAGCAAAAAGTTTCCTTCAGTGGGTTACTAGTAGAAGATATTTACAGCCATTTCTAGAAAAAACATTCAATGTGTTGGCACTTAGTATAAATCAGTTTGACGAACAGGAACAACAAAATTATGTAAGAAAACGTTTAGCTTCTTTCGTTTTTGAAAATGAAATTGAGATCGCCATTGAAAAAATCAAAGCATCGTTCGCGATTATCGAACACGTTAATATCTTGGGAATTCCGCTTCAAATCTTCATGGTTACTGAATTGTTTCGTCAAAACAGTAACAAATATTTGAAACTTATGGAAAATATATTTCTCTTGACTGATTTATACGAATACTTCATTGATGAAAAAATTAATAATTTTTACAAAGGTAAATTGGGGTTTAATTTAAAAAATCCTCACATGCTTAGTAGAATTCGCAAAAAGAAACAGGGAATTTTAGATAATTACGCGAGAGTGGCACTTAAAGTAATATTTTCGGAAGAAATACTAAAACGATTAAATGTTGACTGTGAACAACACAAAGAAAAAAAATTAGAAAAATGTGTGTCTATTGGTCTTGTAAGTGAATTCCAAAATGATGTGGCACATTTCATTCATGGTTCTTTTGCTGAATACTTAGCTGCAACATATTTTTCAAAAAATTTAAATATCTTTTATGATATACTTGGTGATTTAATGTTCAATGCAAAGTATAATAATGTTCGTTTTTTTTTCGACATGTTGTTAGTTAAAAATTGTAAAGCACACATTGCTGTTTTATATAAGAAATATGAATTACTTAAAACTTATGATGACGAAACTTTAACACGCAAAGACAAAGGTGGTAGAAGTGCTTTACATGTGATTTCTTCATGGGGACAAAGACATCCGCATATAAAAATAACGGTTGAAAATGGGAAGTGTATTGTGCATGAAGACAGCAATTTCGATAAACAAGCAGAAACCGAAGCCTATTTTGAAACGGTAATCTTTTTGCAGAGCAAGAATAACGTTGAAGAACACGATAGTTTGCTACATGCGACACCGTTGTCTTATGCTAGAAAAAGTGAGAGTTTAGGGGCGGAAATAATGTTACTTCAAGTAAAAAAAAATGAACTCAATCATCAGGCAAATTCTTCTAACGATATGATTAATATTTTATATTATTCTTCTTTACTTGGATACGATAAAGTATGTGAGCTTTTTACTGTCCATGAGAAGGAAACCAGGAAAAATCGCCAGTACGAAACCAAATTTATTACTGCGGAAAATGCTGAAACACCTTTATTATTAGCGAGTAAAAGTGGTCATCTGAAAATTGTTAAGTATTTGTTACATTTAAATCATGAAATTAACAATCCCAAGAAATTTGGAGAGACACCGTTTCACGTTGCGTCCGAGAACAGCCACAAAAATTATTTAGAATATTTTTTGAATGTCGGTGAAGAAATCAATCGCGGCAGTGGGGACAGCTCTTTCGATTGCTTAGTGGAGGCAGGCTCTGAAATAAATCGAGGTAATAAACAAGGTGAGACACCACTTTACGTAGCTTCTAAAATGGGTCACGAAAAACTTGTCGAATACTTGATGACAGCCGGCGCCGAAATCAATCGCGCTAAAAAAAACGGTACGACACCACTTTTCATAGCTTCACAATTTGGTCACGAAAAAGTTGTCGAATACTTGATGACAGCCGGCGCCGAAATCAATCGCACATTTAATGACGGTGCGACACCACTTTTGGTAGCTTCACAAAACGGTCACGAAAAAGTTGTCGAATACTTGGTGACAGCCGGCTCCGAAATCAATCGCGCTAAAAATGACGGTGCGACACCACTTTTCATAACTTCACAAAAGGGTCACGAAAAAGTTGTCGAATACTTGGCGACAGCCGGCGCCGAAATCAATCGCGCTACGAATGACGGTTGGACACCACTTTTGATAGCTTCACAAAACGGTCACGGAAAAGTCGTCGAATACTTGACGACAGCCGGCGCCAAAATCAATGGCGCTAATAAAAACGGTGCGACACCACTTTTCATAGCTTCACAATTTGGTCACGAAAAAGTTGTCGAATACTTGGTGACAGCCGGCGCCAAAATCAATCGCACATTTAATGACGGTGCGACACCACTTTACGTAGCTTCACAAAACGGTCACGAAAAAGTTGTCGAATACTTGGTGACAGCCGGCGCCGAAATCAATCGCGCTAAGAATGACGGTGCGACACCACTTTTCATAGCTTCACAAAAGGGTCACGAAAAAGTTGTCGAATATTTAGCGACAGCCGGCGCCGAAATCAATCGCGCTATGAATGACGGTGCTACACCACTTTTAATAGCTTCACACAACGGTCACGAAAAAGTTGTCGAATACTTGGCGACAGCCGGCGCCGAAATCAATCGCGCAATGAATGACGGTCGAACACCACTTTACGTAGCTTCACAAAACGGTCACGAAAAAGTTGTCGAATACTTGGCGACAGCCGGCGCCGAAATCAATCGCGCTAAAAAAAACGGTACGACACCACTTTACATAGCTTCACAAAACGGTCACGAAAAAGTTGTCGAATACTTGGCGACAGTCGACGCCGAAATCAATCGCGCATTTAATGACGGTGCTACACCACTTTACGTAGCTTCACAAAACGGTCACGAAAAAGTTGTCGAATACTTGGTGACAGCCGGCGCCGAAATCAATCGCGCTAAGAATGACGGTGCGACACCACTTTTCATAGCTTCACAAAAGGGTCACGAAAAAGTTGTCAAATACTTGGTGACAGCCGGCGCCGAAATCAATCGCACATTTAATGACGGTGCGACACCACTTTACGTAGCTTCACAAAACGTTCACGAAAAAGTTGTCGAATACTTGGTGACAGCCGGCGCCGAAATCAATCGCGCTAAGACTGACGGTGCGACACCACTTTTCATAGCTTCACAAAAGGGTCACGAAAAAGTTGTCGAATATTTGGCGACAGCCGGCGCCGAAATCAATCGCGCTATGAATGACGGTGCGACAGCACTTTTAATAGCTTCACACAACGGTCACGAACAAGTTGTCGAATACTTGGCGACAACCGGCGCCGAAATCAATCGCGCTATGAACGACGGTGCGACACCACTTTTAATAGCTTCACAAAACGGTCACGAAAAAGTTGTCGAATACTTGGCGACAGCCGGCGCCGAAATCAATCGCGCTATGAATGACGGTGCGACACCACTTTACATAGCTTCCCAAAACGGCCACAAAAAAGTTGTCGAGAATTTAAAGAAAGCCGCCGCTTGTGAAAGGAATCCTACAAACGAGAAGCTTTCCAACCGGTTTGGTTGTAGTTTAATGTAGCAAATTTTTCACCTTAATGGACTAAGCGTAGGTTTAGTATTACTAAGTCAATGCTGGTTATTTTACAGAGGATATAATTCATATATCACTTGTTGTGATTTCATACAATAGAAAATGTTAATATCCTGAGGTACACTCAGAACCGACGATAGGTATTATACCGCCCGGGACAAAGTAAATATGTACTGCCTTTCCACTTTGTTAAAGATATTTTTTATACATATACGTAAATACTCTAGAAATACATTGATGATCCTCACAAGAGAAAATTGAATAGTTAATCGTAGATAGTCATACACTTTATACTTATTTGCACGGTCGCGCTGATGACACAAAATTTAAAATGAAACTTTTCCTGCTTTAATTGCAGAAAATTCTCTCACAAGGTGTTTATAATATAATATGTTTTGTCCTAACCGGTGCTCGATGAGAGTAATCGCCAAGTTTACAACTCTTGTTTCAGGCATTATTGAGCGAAAGTAATTTTTTGTCAGTTTTAGCTTGGAAAAACTTGGCCCAGCTTTGACCACACTGATAGATAATGATAATAACATTCTCAGTGCAACATCAACATTTGGAAAAAATGTGTTCAATAAAATGTTGTAAAACATCTCTCGGTGAAGTATTTTTTTAACAGAAGTAGTAAAAGCTTCCAGTTTGTCAGAAAGTTGTATGGCGTAAAAATCTTTAGAGTTTGTTTGCTTACTGGTTAGGATATATTCTAGGATTTTACATTTTTCTAAAATTTCCATTTTAGGAACAGACTGGAGAAATGAAATAATGAATTGTTTTATTTAACAGAAACGTCTAGAGTTTGAAAAAAAAGTCAACGTTGAATTTTAAAAATCCTTCTGCCATTTGTCTTGTTTCATGAATTGTAATGAGTATTTGTTGATCAAATTCCTAAATTATTAAACAATTTATTACTATTATAAGAGCAGACAAGCATACGAATATAACATAAAATAAGACAATTGGACTATAAAATATACATAACAGATTAACACAAATATTAACGGTTAGTTGGTGCTTAAAAATGCTCGTATACAAATAAATATTCCCTTAATTTATTCTTAAAATCTTTTATCCACAACTGAAATATTTTGTGACCATAACATTACCGTTGTGAGATGTTTAATGGGCTTGATAAAACATTAGTGTCTTATATCGTGTCTTATATAAATAATAAGTTAGAATTATTTAGATCTACTTTTTAACATTTACATTAACATTCACTTTCTTTTTTGTTGGTGAGAAACCAATAACATCAAACGTAGCTGGAATTGAAGTTTCACGGGCAGTTTAATCAGCACGCTGAATTTCGACTTGTTCAACATCTTGTCCTTGAATCACCTTCTCTGTTTCAGTTTTATTTGATCGAGAATCCTTAATGTGCAGTAAACGACTAAACTGAGCAATGCGTACGAGTAATCTGTCGATTCAGTTGTATTATCCTTAATTTTTTAGTCCAGCTCATTATACTTTTTGTTTTCCGAAACCATTCGCAAAAATAATAATCTACTTAGGTCTGAAATCAATGAAAACCATCACTTCAAAATTTCTTTACATCACCACATCGCCTCTGCTTTTTCTTTGATATTCATGACTTGGAAGGGTACTCAATTGTATATTTTTTTCGCAACTAGTGTTACTGAGTTTGATCAAAAATTTAAAATTATTGGTAAGTGTTCAAACACTATTACGAATAAAATAAGACCTCGAGATAAAATAGAATAATTGTGTTTTTCCTTTTATTAAATAAACAAAAAGCAATGCATGAGACCGTTTAGCATATGCCTCCATATTTTCCTGATTGATTTTTACAACAATTTAAAGATGCAAAAGGATCAACCAAGAATATGAAGAAATAATTTTGGTAAATATGTTCTACTTATTTATATCCTGAAAATAAAATTCAAAAAGTATCTTCCAGCGTCGCCTCATCAGTCACAAATTCTAACAAAAAGATGTAATTTATCGTAAATTTAGCCCTATTGTAAAATGCAGTACAAGTGAAGCTGTATAAATACATATCTATACCAAAGGTAAGAAAAACATGTTCTCGTTATTTTCACTTTGAGTTTAATTTTCTAGTAAAGGTGTATAGAAGAAAGAAGAAATTATGAAATACTTCCAATCTTCTAGAAAACAACAACTGACTCAAGTAATAACGTTGAACTCTTCAAAATGATACATGGCATTTTGTTACGCTACACCGTGGTGTAAGTAAAATTTAGTCAGTAATTATTACCTTTAGTATTTTAAGGTTTTTCTATAACTTTTTTTATTGATTATAAATTTATTTGTGTTATTAAGTGTATACTTCCAACATAATTTATATGTTTCAGTGGTGGACTAAGTGCCCAAATTAGACAATAGGCTTAGGCAATGGAGGATCACCATCAAGAATTTTTTTTTTCTTCCTGTAAGATAGGTTGGTAGACATTTTTTTTTGTTTTAAGTAAACTGTATAGAAAACGTACTTGATAAACGTGGCTTTTTCATGCCAAGTGTTGTATAGTTATGAATAAATTCAGTACATAATATATTCTATATCGATGATATTACAACGTCAGTATGTGTGTGCTTTTAACTCACTTAACTTTAATTTTTGGAGATCCATTCTGTTCAAGTGTTTTAGTTACCACAGTTAGTTACCAATCGTAACACGTTCAAGAGGCGGAAAACAATCCCAAATTACTTAACTTGTTAATTTAGGAAATAGAGTTTTCTTAAATAAATGTGTGTCTTCTAAAGAACAATTACCAAAACACAACTGGAGTACGTTGGAATGTTGTAATTTCATACACACAAATGACTTTGTGATTTAACTTAATGTTCCAATTGTTTAGTTTAAAAAAAAAACTGTTTGTATCGTAATTAATCTATGAATGTTTGTTCTTATTTTTTTTTCTAGGACATCGAGAGAGCTCTCTAGATGTGTTACGCCGACCGTCTGCACGAAAAATTCTTCACGCGAAAGGAAAAAGCCCTAGAAGACCTAACCGGTTCAGCACGAACAGTCAGAGCCTACGAACTTCCACCGTCTGAGAAAAACGACCTAATCCAGTCAACAAGAAACAGCATCGAGCTACAAACCAACGAAAAGTACGGTACAGATGTCAAAATCGGAGAAATCCTAGTTATCGAAAAACCATACGAAGTGGAACTTCAGGCCGATCGCTATTCTAGACCATCATGGATGCTTTGTCCTTTGCCATAACCCGATTCGAGGCACTAAGTGTTGCAAACGGCTGCATTATATCGAAACGTGTAAAGAAAAGGATTTTCAAATTTTTTTTTTGTCCTTCGTAGATCAAATCATGTATCTCACTGACTACTAGCTGCTTGCATTAAAAATTAGGTTTGTGGCAACGAATGACGAAAATGACACCGAACCCGATTATCTTTCTGACAGATATAAGGAAGCTGCAAAATTGCGAACTCATAGCCTTGAATATGTGTCAGCGGATGTGATGAAAGGTTTAAAGAACTGTACAACCTATTCCACCATCGGAAGAAACGTTACGCTTACGTTACGTCGTCAGGAACATTTTTACGGCTTTGGACGAAGAGGGCCAATTAGGTTGCGATCCAATAAGAAAATAATGGTTGCTAGTAGAAATCTCTCGTTACTTATGTCTGTTGTGTATTAGTGCTAGTATATGGAACCAGCAAAAAACGATTTATAGGAAAAAGGACGACAAAAAAATGTTCGTTTGTTGTTGAGTATGTTCTTTTGTAACTCATTTTTAAAAAATCAAGAGTATCAATCGTCTGTTTTGTTGTTTTGATAAATACTGAAAACACGTCCATGGTATAGTTCATGTTAGATTGTGTTTTATGTTGCTAACTTTTTTTATCATTTCTGTAAGTATAGGTTAAGGTACAAGCAATCTCATGTACAAGAAACATAAATTTTGTCAAAATATTTAAAAAATATAACATTTTATGAACAAGATTCAGTTTTTCAATGTTAGTTTAATCCAAAATTGGTTTGAAGCGTTCAGGTGGTTCCCTCATCAATGCATACAATTAAAATTAAGTGTAGAACTTTCAAAATGCTCAAGTTAAATAAATTAAAACATTAATTTTGCGAATTTCGAAATCAAAATATCGAAGAAATATGCGCATAATATGTACAGATTTTTGGTCAAAATATGCACCACTTTATTAAAAATATGCAAAACATGCATAAGTTTAGATAAGTTAGGTAAGTTTATATTATATTTTTTAGAAATAAACCAGCTTACAAATCGTCGAAAAAGACGTAACAATTGAAACGTAAATAAATGTGTGAAATGCATCAAAATATAAACGCAGCTGTTTATTTGGTTTCTATTAATTTTTTTGATATCTTCTAAGCATATGTCATACCTGCATTCATTTCAAGGACAGTTGTGTCATTGGCAAAGAGAATTATTTTATTGTCACTAACATTAGGCAATTCATGTATGTAAATGAGGAACAGGGGCGGTCCAAGGACCCATCTATGTGGAACACCATGCTTTGTACTTTTGATAGTTGACCCCATATTATTTAAACTACAAATTGCTGTCTAGTTGTTAGATAAGATTTTATAATGTTATTGTTAATAATATTGGATTGATGAAATCTATACTTATACAGGGTCATTATAAAATACTGTAGTCAACTCACCTATGAAAAACAATTGAAATTTTTCTCGTGCCGCTAATCACCAAAATGATTTCAACTCTTTTGAAATGTCACGAACGTCGAAACAAATCTATCAAATGTGTCAAAAAAGTGATATGCCAGGTTTGCGATTTAATTTCATTTTAAATAGACACGAAAATACGCCAGGCCAGAGCATTAAGGGTTGCAGTGTTATCGAGCATTTGTGAACGCCACTGCAATACATTTCAGTTTCAAAAATTGTAAATTGTCAGAAAAACGTTTAAGGGCTTTGTCATGAATTACACCTTGGAAAGTCGATTGGAGTTGAACAGAATAAATCATCTGGTCTGTTTTGCAAAGAAGCAATAATCTTTCAAATAATGAAATCCAAAAAGTGAGGTTAAATTTAGCGAAACCATTGATTAAATACATATAGATAGACCCATGCTATTGTTTGGAGCGAACAGGCCAACGGCCGGCGAACAAGAGATGGCGCACCAACAGTCGGCCGTCAAACGCCGGCGAAAAACTTGGACACCAATCACGCGCATAGGTAACAGAAATCACACCAACAATACATTTAATAAATCTACCACTCGATAGAGGGCGACGAAAAAAATGTGTAAAAATCTCATAGTCAGCATTTAGATAATTTACAACGTTGCCAGATGAGTCTAACACAACTTTGCCGTTATTTCTATTCGATTAGATTTTATTTCGTTTACAAGTTTCTGGTAAATAAATGGAATTATTATAATGAATAAACAATACAAACAAATTATTACTTGTTATTTTAAATACTTGTTAGTGTTGATGAAAACATAAATAGTTATTAAAGTTATTCTAAATAGGGTAAAGGATACAGCCGTTGGCACCCCCACAGTGTTGGGCAGTGTAAATTTTAAGTTCAATTTACATTATCTGGTGATCTTTAATAAATTTGGTGTTTATTTTGTCGTCAGGTTTGATTATTCAGTTTCAACATCAGTTGGTTAGACTGACTTGTGTGTGTTATTCTACGTAGATGCGCAACTGTTTTTGGCGGGTTGTTGGATTGTTAGTTGACATCAGTGATTTTTATTCAGTGTATGTGAAATCGGTAAGTTCGAAAACTATTTTTAACAATTAGCAGGAATCTCTGATCAATTAAATCTATGATCCACTTGGTTGCATATTAAAATATTCGTTGTTTTCTATGCATGAAACGATTTTGTTTTTATTATAACCTCAAATTAACTGGGTGCCAACCACTGGAATCGGAATATCGCTTCGTATACAGTGGTTGGCATATGAGTGCCAACGACTGATCCTGCTGTTTTTTTACTGTTTTAATTGTTGGCAGTAACCCTTTTTCTGAAATAAAAATGGCAACTGAAAGAGAAGAAATTATAAATGCGGCAATAGAGGCCATAAATGACGGCATGCCTAAAAATCAAGCATCTAAAATATTTGGGGTGCCTAGATCCACGCTTCAGTTCCGTATGAGCTCGAAATTTAAGAAACCGGGTTATGGTCCATCGACCTATTTGACACAGGAAGAAGAACATACCCTTGTTGAGTATGTTGGCGTTGTTTACATAAAAATATGTAAATACAAATAAAAAAAACTTTTTAGATGGATTTTAACCTGCCAACGCAGGGGATTTCCTAGAAGGGTTGACGATGTGCTGACAAGTGTACAAAAGTTCATAAAAAACAGCAATCGCGAAACTCCATTTTCTAACGGGAAGCCTGGAAAAGGATGGTATCGCGCTTTCAACAGACGCCATCCAGAATTGTGTATGCGGACGCCAGAGGCTGTTACACAAGCAAGTGCGTGCGTAAGCGCAAATGATATTAGAAATTGGTTTAAAAACATTGAGGAGGAACTTAGTCGCAATGACTATAGATCCATTTTGCACGATAGTTCCAGAGTCTATAATGGCGATGAAACTAATTTTTTGTTGTGCCCCAAAAACCAAAAAGTTATTGCTTTACGGGGCACAAAGAATGTTTATGAAATTGACCAAGCTCCTGCAAAATCAGCTATCACAGTAATGTTCACTTTTGGAGCTAACGGTAGCGTAACTCCTCCCATGATCATATATCCATACAAACGAAAACCGCCCAAGGATATATTAGAAACTGTTCCAGACAAATGGGGTGTCGGATATTCAGACAATGGGTGGATGAAATCGTCATTATTTTATGAATACATAGCTAATGTTTTCAACACCTTTCTGGTAGAAAACAGGATAGAGAAACCTGTTATACTATTTGTTGACGGACATAAAACCCATCTTACACTACAAGTTCATGAACTGTGTAAAAAGTTGGGTATTATACTAATTGCTTTATATCCAAACGCCACTAGATTATTACAGCCCGCGGATGTAGCAGCGTTTAAACCAATAAAATCAGGCTGGCAAAAGGGTGTCTTAGAATGGAGACAAATGCATCCACATTTCCAATTTAACAAAGAACAGTTTGCTCCTTTGCTCGAAAAAGTGGTTGAAAAATATGTTCAGCCAACTACCATTATAAGTGGCTTTAGGACCACGGGTTTATTTCCATGGGATGCAGAAGCCTTGGATTACTCCAAATGTTTGGGAAAGCAATTAGATAAACAATCAGAACACGTTGCCGCAGATCCGGTGCATCATGAAGAAAACAATAGACTGTTAGATTTCGCAAAGTTCAAACAGATACTAGGGTCTCATTTAACTGAAAAACTGCAAACTAAAAGCGAGAGCATTAGCAGTGCAGAGCAACAGTGCTTGCATCGAATATGGGAATATTTTAGAGGAGAAGATTCCTCAAGTAATAATATTCTTTCATTTGATATCGCTAGAATGCCTGTCGATATTTTAGGAATAAACATATCCAACAATTGCGAAAACCAAGCAATAATACATAATATCAACGAAAATATTTCGGAAAATATTGAAGAACCCGTTTTGAGCGAGTTAGAATCAGGAAATGATACTGAACAACAGACATCATGTCATGTTATAGCAGAAGATATTGAACTTGCTGAAGCTCTGAAAGAATATTCAAAGACGGACAATTTTGAAAACATTTCGGCTTGTGCCAACGACCCTTCAACTTTGATCGAGTCTGATAGTAATTGTCTACCTATTGCCCAAACTTTATTTTGGCCAGAACCACAACAAAGGAAAAATAAGAGAAAAGTAATTGAAAGAATGCCTTATGTAATAACATCTGAAAATTGGAAAAAAATGCAGACTGCGAAAGACGAGAAACAAAAGTTTGAATTGGAGGAAAAAGAGAGAAAACGAAAGGCAAGAGAAGCAAAAAAAGTAGAAAAAGTTAAAGCAGTGAAGCAAAAGACCAAGAAAAACGTTGATGTTAAGAAAAGAAAATTAAATAAGGGCATAAACATACTGAGTGACATTCAAAGTAAACCTCCGGAAAACCTTTCTGATGAAGTAGTTAATGATTTTGACGACATAGAAAATAACGGTAATAATTAACCCGTACAATGACACAGTTATTAATTAATTAATTAATTACAGCAAAGGAAGCCAACAATATTTCGGCGGAAATGGAAGAAAAAGGTGAGAGATTCATAAGATCGTTGAATATTTACACTTGTTTTTTCTTTATTTAAACAAATTTTGCAGAAAAAGGGAAAAAATTTATATCCAAAGGATTATGTTTCCTGTGTACGAAAAACATTACACTGGACCGTATGGGAAGGAAATGTTCGAAATGTATAAGAACTTTTCACTCAAAATGTGAAAAAAAGGAGGATTTTTTTGCACAAATTTATGTATGCTGTAAATGCAAAATATAAATTTGGTACATGTTTGAATTTTATTGAATAGTTATAATAATAAAATATACAAAAATACTTTTAAATGAATTTTATATTCACCCTGTGTTTAATAATTTTACTTGCCAACCACTGTGTATTGCAATGCCAATCACTATACTCCCTGTGCCAACGACTATGAAAAGTAACGATTGCTTGCAAAATATAAAATTCTGTGTGATAGAGAAGGATACAAAGTAAAACAGAGGTATAGAAATGTAGCTACTATTTCCATGTACCATACAGCTCAAAATCGCGATCATATTGTTATTGCAGTAAAATATATGATGTATACAAGAACAAGAGATACATAAAGGTGCCAACGACTGTATCCTTTACTAGCTCAAATTTTACAGTACGAGTGGGATGTTTCAGGACGAGTAGGTAGCCGAGTCTTTAATTTCGAAACGAGTACTGCTAAAAGAGTTACCGGACGTTTGTAGTTATGGATTTTATTTCATACTGTCAACATATTTTTTTATTCGATAAAATTATTACTATTTTGAGAA